GGTGTTCTGGGGTGCAGGTGGGAGGGTTTGGGGTCCAGGTGACAGTTTTTTGGGGTGGTGTGAGGGGGTTTTGGGGGGGTGCAAGGGTGTTCTGGGGTGCAGGTGGGAGGGTTTGGGGTCCAGGTGACAGTTTTTTGGGGTGGTGTGAGGGGGTTTTGGGGGGTGTGAAGGGGGGTTTGGGGGGTACAAGGGTGTTCTGGGGTGCAGGTGGGAGGGTTTGAGGTGCAGGTGGGAGGTTTTTGGGGTGGCATGAGGGGGTTTTGGGCGGTCAGAGGGTGTTTCGGGGAGTACGAGCGGCCGGGCCGGGCACAGTTGCCCCCCCGTCCCCCCGGGGTGACACTCACAGTGCACCACGAGCCGCGTCACCGCCTCCTTGGTCAGCAGCCGCTCCCCCAGGGCCAGGCTGGCCCGGCACCGCAGCTCCCGCCCGTCCTCCTCCCGCCGGGCCACCACCCGCAGCTCCAGCCGGGGCCGCGGCCCCTCCGCCAGGACCCCCCCGTCCGCCCCGAGCAGCTGCAGCCGCCCCGGCCCGGGGGGCTCGGTGGCCCCAGAGGGCTCGGTGGTGGCCCCGGGGGGTTCAGTGGTGGTCCCGGGGGGTTCAGTGGCCCCAGGGGGCTCGGTGGTGGTCCCGGTGGGTTTGGTGGTCCCAGGAGGTTCGGTGGTCCCGGGGCGCTCGGCGGTGGCCCCGGGGGTTTTGGTGGTCCCGGGGGGTTCAGTGGTGGTCCCGGGGGGTTCGGTGGCCCCGGGGGGCTCGGCAGTGGTCCCAGGGGGCTCGGTGGTCCCGGGGGGTTCGGTGGTCCCGGGGGGCTCGGTGGCCTCAGCCCGGCACGTCACCGTCACCTCCGTGCCCTCCACCGCCGGCACCGGGAGCAGCTCCAGCCGGGGCGCCGGGAACCCTGCGGGAAGGGCCCGGGGGTGGATCCGGGGGGGTTATTTGGGGATTTGGGGTGGCCCCGACCCCCCATCCCCGGTTTTGGATCCTTACGGTAAACGTGGAGCTGCCGCCGCACCGTCCGAGCCGCCGCGGCCACGGCGGCCGTGCAGGACAGGTCCCGGGTGCCCGGCGAGCTCGGGGACAGCTCGGCCACGGCCGTCACCGTGTCCCCGGACACCGCCAGCGTGGAGTCCAGCGTGTCCCCGCCCAGGGCGAGGGTGACCCGGGTGTCCCCCGCCGGGAAGGCGCCGGCGACGCGGCAGCGGGCGCGGGAGGTGGCACCGACCTCGAGCAGGGAGGGGGCCTCGAGCTGGGGGGGCTCCGGGAGGGCTGTGGGGACACGGTGGCACCGCGGTTGGGGTGTGGCACCGGGGCTGGGAGGGGGTCCCAGTGGCCAGACCATCACCAGGCCCCAGGGGGGATGTGGCATCACCAGGACGGTGCCACGTCCCCGAGGCTGGGAAAACGGGATCCTGGTGGCCAAACCCTCCCCACCGCCCTGTGGTGCCACACCAGCACCAGGAGGGTGACAGTGACATCCCCAGGGACGGTGACAGTGCCACAGTGCCACAGCAGCACCAGGGGGGTGACAGTGAT